ATGCGGTTATTTTCTGGTATACTATGTACGAAAAAATACTTATAGTAATATCCAGTACATCAGTATTCGCAAAGAAAAACACAAATTGAATTTGAATTCGTTTTCATTACTCAACATCTACATAATACAATTTTATACAGAACAATTTTCCGGACAGTCCGCAAAATACCGCATCACTGACAATTTCGCGCGCATGGCGCAAACTCACGCACCATGTCACCCGTCCCATTCGCACTTAATCATCTTGGTGTGTGTGTGAGCGGGTAAGTAGATGCGGCATCGTAACTTCGCAAACGTCAGAAAGGAGGTCGGGCGATGAATAACAATGCGGACTGCGGGACGGATGTCCTCGCCAGACCTTTGCAGCTCTTCCCTCATTCTCTTGCTAATCTTGTTATGCTAATTTGAGCTAAGTGTCTTACAACACAAGGGTCATTGTCCTGTTTTATATAGTAAGACTATCAATTACGTCTTGACAGGCAAAAAGAGTTTGTCGTAAACATTAGCGTAATTTCAGATAGTTTTTTCTTGAATAGTCGACGGAATGAATACTTACGCTACATCCGTTTTACATAGTAACATCAGAGACATCAAATTATTAAGAAAAATGGGCCTTGATTTTTTTGGGATAGTAATCCCGTGGTGAATTTATGCAACTAACTAAATTGTCATTAATTTTAGTTTACGTTCATATAACATTTTACATATATCAGGATGCGTTACGATGGAGTAATAATTTACAAACGCAGATCCAGGGCCACAAGCTAGTCTAAATACTTTCTTATTTACGACACAGCTAAACCAAAAACAATCAACTTGAACGCCCAACGAAAAAACATTAACTTTTTATAGCTTCTGGAAGTTTCACAATAACATAAAAGTTAGGAAATGTAGGAGATTGTTTCGAGCCCAGTGCAAAATTTTAACAATAATAGACGGCAATAAACTTTTTTTTGTAAATTAAAATTTAACTGTGCCTTTGTGCGTTGTATCACTGTTTTTTTTTATTTTATTTTATAAAGTCTGTTAATGATTATTTGATTTTGCTGCCCGTGTTTGGGTGCCAGTTTGAGCATAAGGGCGTAGGGCGTCTTCTGCAGCTGAGCCGCAGTCCCGGGGCGTCCCCTGCCACAGTGCAGTGCGCAGCGTGCCAAGGTCGCTCGGTATTGCGCCACCGCCCCGGTCGTGCACTGTTTTAATATACTATGCACACTCTATCACACAGCAGTTTTGGATAGTTTTTTAAGGTATTCGCCCTTAATACAAATGGATCGTTTACCAAAGAATAAGGACTCAAAGTTCCAAATCTTATCTATGGTTTTCAAAATGGCGGCGCGTCTTTAGCTGTATATCGTTTTCCCCGCGCGTTAGCATGACGCGTTAGCATGCGCGCTTCGAACCCTGTATTCGATAATGAGCTTTCTTTGCAACTTATGCTATTTTTATTAAACGTTATCAAAAACTTTGTTAAGAAAGCATTGTTTGCTTTTAGTTGGGAAATTATATATCACGCGATTGAAATATCCAGTCGAGATAGCGGAGTTGTATTAATAACTGTCATTGCACTATTTATAAGACAGTGATACTGTCCTATTAACCGGTTTATACTGCCTTATATCACCTGAAACAGGACAGAAAACCTGAACCACACTTAAGGCCGCCCTACATGAGTAGTCGACAGTGGTTGCTTGAAGCTGTCTCGGTAAAGTGACACTTAGCTAGTCTGTATTTATTTTCTACGCATATTTACAGTCCCAGATAATGTTTCGCAGGAGGTTTAACAAGCCGCGTAGTACGGCACACCGGGCGGGAGGTCCGTATCGACCGCGGGGCGCGTCCTTGTGCCTCAACTAACCTACATCCGTATTTATATAACGGGATGCACGCTGGGGGTCCGACCCCACCTTAATGGAACCAGGTACACGATAGAAATATTTTTCCCTATTTGCGATGAACTGGCTTAATTAATAATACTTAATTGCTACTATTAATCAAAAGATTGTCACTAAGGGAGTCCTTTAATATTTGGTTCACGTTTAATTACCCTTTATATTAAAAGTAGGAAGTACAAAGGGGATATTAAAGTATATTCTAGAAAATATTGTCAGTATAGTCCAGTTAATTGAAATTTTATTCTGAGAACTTTCATTTTCCAAGCTAGGGACGTGTGGGCAGCGTGTAATTACGTCCCAGTCCGCGCGGCGTGTTGCTCACAAAGCGGCAATCACGTTCTCTATCCCGCTAGATTGGACTGCCCACGCCGTGTTAGACTTAATCAACTCATGTTACTTCTTGTAACAAAGTTTAACACTATGTTTTATATATATCTATCCATCTATACTAATGTTATAGATGAAAGAATTGTATTTTTTGGATTTCTATATTGAAATAACTCAAAAACTACTAGGGCGATTACATTCTTTTGTCATTTAAAAGTTACGTTATCGAACATTTTTTTAACAATTTCACGCCAAGTCGCCAACAACAGTCTTTTATAGTTTTAATTTTAATTTTAGTCTTTTATACATTAGATTTGTTAGAAGGTATTTGGAATAATATTGTTATTCTGCAGTCTGGTTATGTTAAGTGATCATAGACAAATATCTCAATTGTAAACGTACCGCAATTTAAGGTTGCTTAGTTGATAGTTTAAGTTATCTCTGCTACGGCGTAGCTCTAGCCGTAGACCTAGTGGCGAGCGAAAATATCCTTTATCTGATCAATTGCGATGCAAGTGAAGGCGGGGGGCTGCAGGCCGTGGGTAGCGGCAGTGGGGGGTGTGAATGACGCACCTGTGCATTGCGGGTCAATGTCGGAGCGCGCGCCCCCTGGCGCCGCCCCGGGACCCGCCGGTGTGGGGCGGGAGGTCCAGCAAAATTGGTTTACCTTATATAACCGCTAGGGAGCGCTCGAGCAGCGCTTTCCAATTTGCGTTCTGCGGAATGGTTGAAGGTATCGACGTGATCGCATTGAAATATTATCATAATTTGGAACTTTCGGAATGTTTGACAATGTGTCACATGTTTCCATTGCAATCGGTTAAGATTCTCATGTATCAACCAACAATTAACTATGAAGGAGTGTGTATACACAAGCCGCAGTCTTGCGACATTATTCATGATCCAATTTACATATCTGAACAGTTTGTGTTTAATTCATACAGTCTACGAAGTTCTAGTCAAACGAATATTATGCAAAATTCTATTATATACCTTATTTTCCCTCTTCTAGAATAACATATTTACTTACTGAATTTCGTTACATTACACATATTTTTATTCGTGCAATATATTTAACGCATTTTTACGTCTGAAGGTCGTTTGAGGAGCGCCGCCGCGCTAATCCTCTTACATACTTAGAGAAAAGGAATTGACGTAAGGCTTCCATATCTACGATCAAGCCGACAGACTACAATAAATTGTATTAGGCGACTGGTAACGGTCGTAATTTTAAATTGTAACTCAACTACGCAGAAACTTTATAACCTTATAAGAATCATATGCAATGTGTTAATTGTCTAATTAACCTAGTTCAATATTGGTTTAGAAGTATTTTTTCCCACTTGAAAATATATTTAGGGAAAAAACCCTTTGTGTGTTTACCAATAATACAATTAAAGAGAACACCAATTCTAGGCTATGAGAGATTTGTTACTTATACTGAGCGTGGCTTCAGAAACAAAAAGACACTTTTCAGAAGAAGAAAAGGGAGGGGTCTCGCCTTTTAAAATTAATCTTTATCCTATTTTCGTTACTAAAACCCCATAAAAGCATTCATAACATCATTTGATTACTTTACAGTAAAAATAGACACATATTAGTCGGCGGTATTTGTAAAACGTTGTAATCAGTGATGATGTGACAGTTATGGCTCAGCATTTTGTCGGCGTCAAGAGCTGTAAAGGTCAGAGCGCCCTTGCGCGTCGGTGCCACGCGATGCCACGCGATGCCACCCGATGCCACCCGATGCCACCCGCTGCCACCGTCACCAGCCGTCACCGACAGCCGCTCGCGGTGTCTGCCGACGACTGGCAACATGCTAAATGTCAAACAGTCACACTATATTTAGATTAGCAAGTTATGGTATTCCGTAGCACATAATTTCAGTCGCATGTCGTCGCTTAAGTTATCTACTTTGTATTGTAACGATTTTATGTAAACAATAAGACGATTACGCACAACTATACGTAGTATTAAGCAAAAGCAAGATGATGGAGAGATCGGAGGGATTAAAGAGGCGACAATATTATGTGAGAATGAAATAAAAAAACAAATTGATGTGGCCACCAGTACGGGTAGACCTAGAAAGAGATTGGCGGATTGCGTGAAAGGTGAAATGATCAAGAAGGGAGTAATGACTGAGATGACGCATGATAGTGTTATTTGGAGGATGAAAACAAAGTGCTCCGCCCTTACAGGAGTAGGATAAGGTAGGAGAGATGATGTTTTTAGAGTCTTAGCACAATACTATTGATGACTTTCAAAGACACAAATAATAAATAGAAATATTCATAATTACGTCACTATTTCATGAGCATTGACTGAATGCGAAAAGCCTCTTCAAAAATTCTTGGTAGGTTTCCAAACTGCGAGTGGTAAAGTGTTGACCTAATTATCGTCAGAGTCAGAATAACTAACCGCTCCTTACTAATTATTTTAAATTAAAATAAATAGTAATAAGAAACGTAGAAGAATGTAAACGTGTAATGTACTTTGTTTAATCATGTAAATGCTTGAAATTGAAAAATGTACATCAAAATTTTTGTAATAAACTTTTTGAGAACAACGTCATCTATTGTCTAAAAAGAAAAAGTGAACATTTTAATGAAATAATTAGCTATATTACTTTGCTATATGTTTTTACGAACAAATAATTACATTTTATTTTACGAAGATTAAAGGTAGAATCAATTGGAAAATAAAATTGCCATACGTAAAACTTTTGTTTTAAATAGCAACCCCAACGGCTGAAAACGTTCATCAACGGGATGTCATCATCTGTCAAGTTTGGCCTTCAATGGATAGGGATTCTCTTGCAATTTTTGAGGGTTTTGCAATGTCCGAGTGAATTGTTGCCAACTAAATCAATGGTTTGACGACTGGGCGGGTTAGCCCTCATCATAAAATGACATCGAGAAGTAAAAACTCTGTCCGAAGCTATGAAACCGAGATAGAAAAGAATCGTGAAGAGTCTAATTGGAAGAAGGCAGTGGAATTGGCCCAACAACTAAAATCAAGATCACCACAACATGGTAAGATATGACTTAATATACACAAAATTTCCTAAATGTATAATTTAAATCATAAAATATACAAAAACTGATTAGTACAAAGTTTCTTTTTAATTAAAAGTTGTATTACAAATTAATTAGAGTGTTCTTGGTATGTGGTTTTATCGAAGTAAACTATGGTAAATTAGGATTTTTAAATCATATTAACATTAAATTAAATGATATTGTGATGATATTATAAGCCAAGAACTATAATCATAATGTTTAGAAATTAGATAACTGTTATGAACATGTTTCAATTGATCTTAAAACATTTACACGATTCCAATTAGGTTTATCGAAACATTTTAGTCATTGGTAACATTAGTGATGTATTCTATGATTAAATATTCTATTATTTTATTCAATTGATGTAGATATTCACCCAATATGATTCTATACTATCTCATAGACTTAAAATAACATGTATCTTTAATTACAAAGTTTTTCACAGCATTGTTTGTTTAATTTACTAAAAAACTTTACCACAAGTTTATTTAGTTTATTCTTAAAATATACATAATGTAAATTATTCTTCAACAGAAAGTCTTGCTCACTTCCTTATTGGTGAAGGTAAACTTGAAGCATATTTTGAAGAGTGGCCTCCTATTAAAGAGAATATAGAAAGAGCACAGAGGGAGCTGTCCGAAGCACGTGGCTACCTTACCCTGGCTACAGATGAGGCAGGGAAGAAAGCTGGAGTGGCTCTAGACGCTCATCTTCTGTTGGGGAAGCTGAACTATGCTTGTGGTGCATATGATGAAGCACTAAAGCAGTACAATTTAGCGGAATTGAGCACTTTAACGGAGAAAGAATTACCTGTGTGAGTTTACATTTGTTTTTTTTTTATTGACTACAATTATAATAATGTCATGTTTCACCTTTTAACTAATTGAATAATATTGACATATTATTTGTTGGTCTTAGAATAATTTATTGGTATAATTCAAAACAATTTTTGAAGAATTCATCAAATTAAAACTGTCCGTAAAATTTGTATGGATGGATGGATGGATGTTCGCTGTTACCTTAATGAAATTTGGCACTTTTTTGGTAGAGTATAGCCTAGAAGAAAATATTTATTTATTTATTACTTTTTGCACAAATAGTACAATATGAAATATAACAATAAAAAAATATTATTTACTATTTACTATGTTTTTTTATTTCTCATGGTCAATCTAACTAAACTAGCATACTATAGAGTTTAGGAAACATGCAATTCATTAAAACTGTGCAATGAGTCATTGTCTGACTAATTGAAACCCGTTTCTCAAATACTGTCTCAGTGATGTAATGTTTGTTTTGAGATAGCGCTAAATGTACAATAGCAACAACTGTTTTGTTTTACTTAAATATTATTGCTATTTTATTTGAGTTTGTTACTAATTTTTCCTCTTTATTTATTTAATTGTAAACTAGCTTTTGCCCACGACTCAATTAAAAAAAAAGTGAGTAGGCTATGTGTTCGTCCAGACTATCCTCTACATCTATACCAAATTTTATCAAAATCAGTTCAGCCATTTAGGCTACAAACTCTTAACAAACATCCATCCATCTAAACTTTCGCATTTATAATATTAGTATGATAAATGAATGTATTGTTAATATTTATCAGCCTTATTTATTTATTGAAATTGTTTGTTTTGTAATTATAAGTTGCTGTAACTTCAAAGAGATAGTAATTTATTGATATATAAAAAGATTATATTAAAAAACGCCCATTGATGTTAATTTAAAAAATTGTACCAATCATATTTCTTGAGTTTTTAAAATCATAACATTTGCCATATTAACATTTCAGCCGCAGTCTCCGTATTGTTGCAGAGTCTTACGCTATAAAAGGTTTATGTTTGGAACAGAACTCTATACCTGGCTCAACAAGTCGATATAAACAAGCGGAAAGGGAATCAGAGTTGGTTAGTATATACTATAGAAAATACTTAAAAACTAAGCATGGAAATGACATAAATCAAGATAAGACAGAGAAACTTACAATGGATGAGCCAACTTTAATATCTTCTGTAGGGCTTGCCCGGTGAATAGTACGATCACACAAAAAACAGGCATCAAGTGGAAGCAATTCCGCATACAGTCTGATGAGTGTGTATGCCGAAGGCTTACTTTTAGTCCCTTTTCCTTTCCACCATTTCCTTATATAGAACGGATGTGAAGCAAAAGTGGATTTATCGGTGGAGGAGACAGAAGAAAGGAGAAATATCATCTTTATGTGTGTTTCCTCCTCCGTTGATTAAGGGTAGGCAACGAATCTGGCAGCGGTCCCTTCGCCATTCAAGTGACTTGCTCGTTTGTCACTTTGTTATATAAAAAATCTTTCCGGGGTCACCAGATCCGTAGCTTCGAGGTGTCTTCGGAGCTGACGCTGCTGTACCTGCAGCGGGCGCAGGCGGCGCGAGCTGGCGCTGTGCTGGAGACCGCGCTACAGAGGGCCCCGCTGCTGCACATCCGCGCCGGCCGCCTGCACAGCGCTATAGACAGGTCAGTTGGTACAGTGCTTGTAGCGGGGCCCGCTATAACCTAACACTATGTATGGCACTAGCTGTTCCCGTGCGGCTTCATCCGCACGAAATTATAAAAACATAATTTTACTGTTAACATTTGTCAAATGACAAAATTACCGTTATAAAAATAATATTGCTTCCTTGATGTTGGCAGCTCGTAGCTTATGGTCTCTTTCCCACATTAGGGTTTTGATCCAATTTATTTACCCCTTAAGTTTAATAGCGTGAAAATATATAGCCTAGAGCGTGACTTGTAATTTAAAGCTAAACGCTATTGTATATTTATTTGATATAACGATGAAAAAAATGTATTTGTTATGTATTAACATTTTATGCTGCTTCAAAATACGTACCAATATATATTTATTGTGTTAAAAATAAATTTACAAAGGCAAGGAGTCTGTACAATATAAAAAAGTGTATAATAATGTTATGGTATTATTAAAAACTTATGTATGTAGTGAAAAAAAGGTAAATAATGATAATAATACGTGTGCAGGTACCGCGAGATGCTGACGGCGGTGGAGGCGGCGTCGACGCAGGCGCTGCGGCTGACGCTGGCGCGCCAGCTCGCGGAGGTCCTCATGCGCGGCGTCACCGGACAGGTGCGACATCCTGACACTTGGATTGACACAGGCCCAATTTGACTCCCTTTCCCCGTTCCACTCTTTTCTTATAAGGAAAGGTAGGATGGGAAAGTGGATTTGACGGTGGAGGAGGCGCATAGGAAGGGGAAATATCCTCTTTATGTGCGTCTCCTCCTCCGTCTATTTAGGGTAGGCAACGCATCTGCGATTGCGGATGTGTATGGGCAGCGGTCGCTTCGCCATTTCGGCGAATTCAGGTGGTTTGCTCGTTTGCCACCTTATTTAATATAAAAAAGAGCTGCTGCTGCACACTGCTAGCTCGCCATGTCCGCACTGGCACACGAAATACCACACAAGATAGTGGTAGAGCCCGCTTTAACATCTTCGCACAATGTGCCGGCTTGTCCGGTGGAATACCACGACCACACAGAACACAGGCGTCAAGTGGAAGCAATTCCGCGTACAGTCTGATGAGTGGTGCCGGAAGCCTAATTTTAGTCCCTTTCCCTTTCCACTCTTTTCTTAAGAGGATAGGATAGCAAGGAAAAGTGGATTAGACGGTGAAGGAGATGCATAGGAAGCGGAAATCCTCGTTATGTGTGTCTCCTCTGTCAAAAGAGGGGAGGCAACGAATCTGAAATTGCTGATGCCTAGGCAGCGGTCGCTTCGCCATTTCGGCGAATTCAGGTGGCTTGCTCGTTTGCCACGTTGTAATATAAAAAAAATATTTTTCTTTTTCCACCATTTTCTTATCTTCCATGTGTCTGCAGGTGTACAAAGCGCCGGAGAAGGTGGCGATGCCGGCGCAGGGCACGCTGACCAGGCGCAGAGAGGACCACGTCTCCGAAGGTCCATGGAAACCCAAGAAGTATGCTGCTATTAACCAGGTGATATACTCTTAGCTCCCCATTGCTTTAGTATTACAGATCTATATTAAAGATTTCTTTTAGTATACAATTATAGTCGTCAAATTAAAAATGTCGGAAAGTAGTATGTGGTGACATCTAGTGATCACAAATGTAACAAAAATATTGCAATAACTATGTTACTTTACCTTACCTTACTCTCTTTTACCTTACTCTTCCTTACATTTTTCTTCTATTTTCCTATTATTTGATCAAATTTAAAAAATAAAAGTTAAGTATATTGTATTTATTCTTGTCGCTTTTTTCATAGTTGTCTTGTATAGTGATGTTGTATACACCAACTTCGGTTTACCTTCACATATCACAATTATGTAGTTAGTTTTAAGCTGTTTGGTGAATCTAATAAAATAAATAGATAATAATGAAAAACTGTGGTGCAGTTCGTGCCGTGCAACGAGTACGAGGAGGTGATGCTGCTGGTGCTGGTGGGCGAGGCGATGGCGGCGCGCGACGCCGTGCTCTCCCAGAGCGCCGAGTTCGAGGCG